TTTGCTGTAAACTTGACAGTGTTTTCTGAAGACATGTTTATAAAAAATTTAAATAGCACACGAATATAATGTAACTGTCATAAAGAAAAATGAACGGGCAAAAACAACGATAATAACAAATGGTACAATTTATAACATAGAACAGACTTACTAAATTGCACCAATATATTAATTGTTTGTGAATAATCATTATTTATTATAATTATTATCGTCACGTTCAATAATGTTTGTGAAATAATGTACGTGTAATTAAAATAGTAATATAATAAATCCACAGTTATGATTATAGTCCATGTGATAATCCGAATTGAGACGAAGTGCGTTGCATTTTTGGAATTTGACAATATCGTCGAAAGTCGTTTCCCGCTCACACGTCGGGGTTACCAGTTCTGTAGTGGCTGTGCTTCGTTAACCAATCACCCTCGTAACCGTTACCATATAATCCTCAACGGTGTTCGAAATCAGAAAGCAAAGAGAAGCAGTGACTACAGTTTTATTAGCAGATAGCTCAGAGCACAAAGCAGAGAGGCAACTGAGTGAGTCAGCGTGCCGAGAGCGTAGAGTGTTAAATGTATATATATATATATATATATATATATATATATATATATATATATATATATATATATATATATATATATATAATAGGGAAATTAATGGATCATCGAATCAATTAAGCAGTTAATAATAAAGCTAGCAGAATGAATATATGCGTAGGCGGTAAGCAATGTTCAAGCATACATATTTCATACAAGCAAAACAATAATAAAGGTACAATAGATTGTTATGGTATGGATAACTTTGTCCGCTAAATAAGTTAACAAAAGGGCTGAACTGAGTTAAATGAGAACAGAATCAATTGCACGTGAGTTGCTATAATAGCTCCCCCCTGCAACCAAAGATATGTGTTTGCACAAAGAGTAGTAAACTGAATAGAGTAGCTGCAATCGTTTGAAGAAATGGGCTTATACAAAATTAGGATGAAGTTAGTGTGTGCTGTGCATTTGGTTCGTGCCTGTCCGTAAGGTTATACAAAATAATACTAAGAGATAGAAGGTATGTGGTATCGTTTTTTAAAAAAAATAAAACATATAAGTGTAGGGGTACATAAGATATGCGGAATTTTATAGTGTATGACATGAGCTTAATAATCCGTATGTATACAGTGAAGTGGGAGTTATAATTAGTACTTTAAATAGAAAATTATCAATAGAAAATTGTAGCGACGTAGCTATGAGTCCATCTTACTCTGCGGCCAGATCTTGTTGTTAGCGGAGTCTCGTCTTTTTGTACTAATAAAAATGGCTAAACATTTAAAGTTCATATAATATCACTTGTGGAATGAGATACACTTACAGGTGCTAGAACATTCAATGCATTATTCGGGCTCGTTTTTTTGACAGTCGACCGATATCGCTTTAAGTATAAATTCTGAAGCTATTTATGAGTTATAAACTAGGATTCAACGATATTCAAACAATATAAATTAGGTACTGTGTTATCGTAACGCAAACTATCTTTTATGTCAAGTATATTTAATGAATATATAAACTTGATGCAATTTGTTGAAAAAAGGTAAGAATTAAAAACACCATTTTGAATCACAAATTTATTCATTTGATTCATTTACATTTTACATAGAAAAATCAATTTCATATTACAATAAGTTCTAATAAATTGCGATCTCATTAATAAGTGTTAACACATGAATCAAGCGATTTCCGTCAACTCAATAATGATACAACTCGACACGTAAATGACTGATTGGAAATCAAGAAAAAATTGTTCTAGATAAAATAAATATGTATTTGAGAAAGTTATTCGTGTTTCCAGGCTGGTTATCTCTGAGTAACCATGTGATGCTATTTATTTATTGCAATAATTAACTATTTATAAGTATCAATGCCAATGTTAGACTTGATATTTTCAAATAAATTGAGTATTGGGTAGAAAGTTAGTAATAAATATAGTACTATTTGAACTCGCGCTAATTTAACTCTTTTGTTTATCTACTAGGAAGAATTCGCTTACAGTAAGTCACGAAACGTCAGAAATACAACTTTTCTACTTATTGAGACATAACAAAACATGTATTTATTAAGAATTGACTATTTATTTTGGTGAATACGAGAAGTTGGTGGATTTTCAATTTGTTGATGTGATGATATTGCATAAACTAACTACTCGTCTTACCATCACACTTGATAAGGATGAAAATATCATTCCGTCTTAAAATTATTATATGGTTACACAAGTTAATGACAAATATTCAGTCAGTCAGTCAGTCAGCTACAACGTAGGACAAGGCACATATATGCATCGGTCCAAGCTGCCATACCTCATTAGCACAACAAGATGAACACCGGATTCATAAAAGTAGTTAATTCAGAGGCGGATATATAATAAAGAAAGATTGCATATAAGGATATAGCACAGGAAGAAAGAATTAGTTCGTAGAAAGAAAGATATGAAGTAATTTTAATCTCTTAGTTTAAGGGAAGACAGGGAGTGTATACACCTACGCAATTGTGGTCGATTCTCAGCCATGTTACCTATAGTCTCCAACCATTGGTTACGATAGTCACGCGGACCCCAACCAAGTAGTCTGCATCTACCAACATTGCTCAGACTAGAGGTTAGTGACTTCAAGCACTGATGCCAGGTTTTGGTTTGGCCGCCCCCAATTCTCTTCCAACCATCTCTAACACCCGTTAGCATTGCACGACGTGGTAATCGGTGTTCAGGCATACGTAACACGTGGCCCAACCATCTCAGTCGATGAAGATTAACAACCTCATCAACTGATTTACCATCATTCCCTAATACTCTGCGTCTAACCTCGTCTTACCATCACACTTGATAAGGATGAACATATCATTCCGTCTTAAAATTATTATATGGTTACACAAGTTAATGACAAATATTAAGGTAGAAAGAAGTGAATGAACAAACAGATAGAATCTTCCATCTATTTGAATCACTTTATTGGATTCACTGATCATTCCAATTCCTAAATTTAGATATCACAGTATGGTAAGTTGTTCACATATGAGAATTGAAGGTTTCAGGTTGATTCCACATGAGTTCTACCATGCAGCCTCTCTTGTTCAACAATTGTTGATTTCCATAACTTCTTCGTTTGACACAGTTAATTTCCGAAATTATTTTCATATTGAATAGCAATCATAGTAATCTTTTTGTCAAATATCAATTATTCATCTATTATCATTCATATGTGAATTTTGTAGCTATGTATTTAAAAGAACGTTTAGACAGGCTGTCTATAGGAATTACTGTTTGATTATTGCCATCATTACCTAACAACGGGAGTCACTGAAAACCCTAGTAAGTTGTGAACAAATGAGTCACATCCCAACACTTATGTGTATTCTTGCCCATACATTTAAACGAGAAGCCATAGCTTTAAAAGGCAGAAAAACACATTTTGAAATATTTACATAAGCAAACAAATCCTAAGGACCTAATAAAAGCAGATGTCAAACACCCATCTTTCTTTATTGCCCGATATATCATTGAAACAGGGAGTAAGGTCAATCTCAGCTCACTTTATGTAGAATGATGGTTCCTATCATATATTGAAGATCTAACCATACGAAAAATCAGCCCTACCCACTGCACTTACATTAAACCTGCCCCAGTAATCTGCTAATTTAAATTCAATATTCACAGTAATGTGCTTTCGTCTTTTCCTTATTACACTTAGGATCCAGTTTGTCTATGTCGACCCTCTTAACAAGTTAATGTGTGGTTAGCCCCAAATGTACTGCGCTGATATATATATATATATATATATATATATATATATATATATATCTTCGGTAAGGTTGTGGATGTGAGATGATAAAATTCTCACACTAGGACGAAACAGCTGTCTAGTGCTTCATGGTTCTCAGTAGAAGTCTAACTTAGGTCGGTTCATGCTATTTATAAGAAATAACTGTTGAACGAGATAAACAGCATGCTAGGGCAGGTGTTTAAAATAAAGTAAAATCAGGAGCTGGCTTTCATATTGACTCAGTTTCAATGTTCAGGAAAACTTACTGGCGAGACGATATTTTATTCAGCTCCAATATTACATATCTATATATCAGCACAAAAAACAGGACCTTAACCACTTCTGAATAACTAATGCAATGTTCCATTTCGAAATTCTCTCTAGTTTTAAATTAACTGAACTGAAATGATTAGCAGTCCTATGTGTACAATAATCTGGAGGCTGAGGTTTAGATGGTCTATACTTTTTGAGTGAGGCGTGGCTGACCAAACCTAAGATATCAATAACGATACAGTAAGAACCAGCAATTTCCTTTCTATGCTCAGAATGCTTGAAATCGTATGACCATTACTTGTCAATCTGTAGTCTAATTCAGAAACCCTAAGCGAAGTGGTGGTATGGTTTGAAATCTAATGTGTAAACCTGTGAGGATGTCATGAATTGTATTTTCATGATATTCCGTCATAAATAAAGCTTTCATGACCTATTCAATTTGGAACGCAAGTTAATGTGAGTACAATCTGTCATACTTTCAGCAGTGAGTACTCATGCATATCGACTCATTTTCACTGGAACTACGTACTATACGATCTTACTATTATGTAAAATACATTCTTACAAACTCTTGAGCATATCAAAGAACGGGGTACGTTTGTTTGGCCCATTGCTTTTCGTTAAAAAGATCTTCCATCACGGTTTTGAAAGTTTTAAGTCTTTTATGAGAACTCGAATATTCATGCAAAATCGTACTAAGTTAAACCTAACAGATTTAAAAATACCCAGGTATTGCGCATTATCACATGGTAAAAGTAGCAAAATATACCATCCAGTGTTTATTCAACTGTTAGTGGCTAGGACAGTGAATAATCTAAAACAATGAGAACCTAGGTTGTGAATTATTTATGGATCCCATTGAGTCATTTAGTTGAATTGAGTACCAGTTGTTCAGTACGTAACAAGTACGGTTTAAAAATTCACTAAGAATGAGGAAATTAATAAAAATCTTTGGAACAGAATATCAATTGTTTATATTAACAGCTGAAATTTCGAAAAAATTATATTAGTCTTTCACAATTTAGTGTCACTACACAACTCAGTTGTTAAATAGAAATAGACAAATGATCAGTGATATTCACTATACAAATTGCCATTTAATTGTGCCAGAATACAGTTACTAGTATACATGTTAATGTAAATAGAAGGGGTGGAGAAAGGAGTAAATATTTATTACTTGTGTTGTACAGGCGCAAAATAATTTCTACATCATATACAACTAATAGTGTGTTATAATAATAAAATATAAAAATGCAGGAAGAAAGTAGTATGAATATGGAAATAAGTAGTAAAAGCTTTGATATTTTGATCAACCCCTACCATTTGGAGGCAACCATGGTGGGCGGCTATTCTTAACGACTGAATTGGAAAGGCCTGTACTGAAGTTTGGAGGATGGACAGAATACGGATTAGCGTATGGATGACTACTAGATTGACGATAGGCAGGTCCACCTCGATGATAAGCATCATTTTGAGGAGGAAAACGATTAAAAGACCCAGGTCGCCAATTTGGTGGAATGTTGTTACTTAGTTTGCCACAATCTGATCTAGATGAATACTGTAAGTGGCTACCTCGACTGCGCTGATATCGTGGTAATGAATTCATAACCATCCTGTTCATCGGTGAGTTTGGATAAAAATCTCTACCAGTATCCTCCCTATCTGACGAATTGTCTCGAGCATAGTACTGCATAGCTGCATTGGCATTAAAACGTCCACGATGTTCATCGGTGCGAAAACTTGCTCGTCCTCTTCCTCTACCACGCTGAGGAGGTTGAAGGTACACTGGGGGTGGCATTTTAACCTTCAAAAAACAGAAAAAACTCCATTTATTCATCACAAGTTTGGTAAATGATATTTTAAAAATTCAAATTGAGAATACGATGAGTCTTGTAAGTTACGTACAAGTTCGGAACCAAATCAGTATTTAAATTAAACTAGATTATAACATCTAGAAAAAGTTACCGTACACTATTTTCAATTGTTAATCTTTACAAATATTTGTCATAAAAGGTTAGAAATCTACTTTTGATGATCCGAAAACAAACGAGTTGATTACTAAAATACTTTTATGATTCATAGGAATTCCAAGGCTTGAAAACTGCAATCCCGCCAAACACCGAGACCCTCAGAAAGGCGAAAGCCTGTAATTTAAGATCTTAGATGACATTTACTTTATTTAAACACAAACATTGGTGCAAGGAGGCACCAAATAGATATGTGCCACATAAATCATTCGAGTTGTGTGAGGGCTGGGACATTGCCCGGGTGCCCAAACGAAGTAAGAGGTTTTCTTAGGGGGCCATAGTCCGAACCTTTGATCTAAAAGTCTAATCTACAAGTCAGTGGAGCAACTTTACGAGATGCAGTCCCATAGTAGTCGGTGACCAACGGTTGGTTCATATGCCATTTGTTCCGTCAGGATTCTGAAGCCCATGTGCACCATCGACTTGAATCAGGGTTTTCCAACTCCCCTAGGTGGATTTTCCATATCCACCAGCCCGGTTAAAGCGCCGGACATTCGCTCTTCATAAACAACATCTCCACCATGAGAAGAACTTCCCTTGCAGTGGTTGTATGCACGTGGCCATGTGAGAGCATTTCGAGGGGGAGAGCAGACTCTCCCCACTCCTGGCTGTACCAGGGTATTTGGAGACTTAGATGACATGGATTGAAACTAAACTTAATTAAGTAAACCCATTTGCTTTGTACCTTTTGTCTCCTAAGTGTTTTCAGACGATTGTTTTACCTTCCCGAATCATAGCATCTTATTCATATTGATAAATTTCTATTTATATTGACTGAGCTGTTGCGAGATGTATCAAATTGTACAAACGTAAATGTGTAAAGTATTATATTGTCAATATAATACTTTACGCGTCCAAATTCATGCGCTAAATTGTGAACTATAAATACTGTGTATGATCTCTCGAAACCGTAAAAATATCTGTATCATGGATCATCAAACCTTGAATCGTGTGTTACAATTAGTACAATGAATTGGGACTTAGTGATCCATATTTTTGACTACCTCCACTTGCAACTATCTACAGTCGCTACCCGATAGCCCAATCGTTTATTCGATTTACGAATGTTTTAAAAATGAGTCTTTTTAAAAGCGATGGCTTTGCCTCTACTGACTTCCATAAAAACACTATGGAATAAGATTAACAGAATTACGCTTTATAATGTACACTAGAAAAGTATTTCTGAATTCATGAATATCTAGCCTTGATAAGTTGCTCAAATGTTTTTCGCCTATTCTACACCTGCGATGCATACGGAGAAAAATGGGGAAAAACAGGACATAAAACAGTCTACTATATAAATTTGTGTCACATGGGGACGACAATCGATGTTAATGAATAGAAGCTTGTCGGAAAAATCCAACATAACAATATATGGAAACTTACGGATTCAAGTAACTTGGAAGGAAAGACGAAGCCCTTTGGATATTGAGGATCTGAAAAACATATCGATACAGCTTCAGAAACCTTTAAATCAGGAACGTGACCTGGGACTGCACTAGGTACACGACTCCCAGGCAAGTAAGCCATTTTGTTAGGCCAGATTAGACCACTAATTCCAAACGTAACACGTGGATCAATTGCAGATGCCCAAGTTGGTATGATTTGTTCTTCCGAATTATCTTTCTCAATCTTTTCATGTGATACTTTGTATAGAGAATGCAACAATGGACCAGCAGAATGATCAGCTCTACAAAACAACTGGTCTGAACCACGAACATTTCTCTCAATCTCTTCTTTTGTTAAAAGATTTCTTCGGGCATCCAAAGCTTTCAGCAAACGAACCTCATCAACAAATGGTAACAAAGCTACACCCATCCACAGATATCGTTTGCCATTCAAGTCTACTTTGAAGTCTGTTGGGTAAAAATCAATTATAGGAGAATCGGGATCGGTCATTAAGTCCTGCCACGCTGGAGGGACGTGACTACGAGAGTCGGCCGGGAACACGCTCATAAGTTGCTCCAGTGGTCTAAACGGTTTTGTTTCTTTTTTCGAAAAGTCAACATCGAGTTCTGCGATTTTGGAGAAGTCACTGGCAAATGGAGCATAATGATACGGGAAATACCAATCCCATGAAGCACAACCTTGGTAATAATAGGCTAAGACCCAGCATAAACCAAGGGCATATTCCTGACCAACTTTGATACAGAACCCAGGTGCATCTGTCGGGTCAACTCCAAATTTAGATCGATAATATCGTGATCTCCATCCATCTTCCCAAAACCGTACTTCATCTGCAGCATCCATCATCTCATCCTCATCGTCGTGATGATTACCTGATCTGTTGTTGCGACCAGATGAAACACCTTGTAGACTTGTGTTGTTATCAGAAATAATTCGAGGTATTTTCGGAAGAATAGTGGGATTATTCATATTATTTGAGATTCCGTTTTCAATAGGTTTATCGCGTTTCAGCATAGCTTTCAGTGCTGTTGCTGCCTCGAGGTTATTTAGATTTCTATCCACCCAATTAACACTTTCTTGACATCTACCCTGATAACGTCGTGCAGCTAATAACTCATCAGCAGAAACAACTTGATTTGTATAGTGACCTTTGGGGTGTGCTATTCCGTGACGTCCTCTTAGGGGAATAGGTTCCATAAAACCAGACTGAGACACTTCGAATGATGGGCGGTGACCCAATCGCTGTGGAGCGAACCCGCGTTGGTTTTTATCATAACCATTGCCAGATGAATGTTGACGCTTTCTATTACGAAACTGTAGTTCTGATTCACGACGATTTTTGAAGATCTCATCCTCCATCTTCCCCAAATCAACCATAATGAGTTGGACACGCTCTAAATTGACTCGTCCACTATCAGTCAGCCACCCTCCCGTTTTCTGGACTGTTGACTTATAGATTTCAATCAAACGATCAATGGCTCCTTCACGGATTTCCAAACTCGGAAGATGAGGGAGGAAGTCATTTCCAACGAAAAAGCACATAAAAACCCAATCGTCAATGACTCGTTCGAGATCCCATTCAAATGTAATGCCGGCCAACTTCAGATCTTCTGCTAGATATTGTCTTAGAACATTCAAGCGAATAAAGATGAAATCCTACAAACATAAAAATGAAAAAGAACGAGGATAAGCGTTGAAACTTTGAAAACAATAACTATTATATCTAAAACAATTCACAACTTACAGTGACTTATTAAAACATATTTGAGGAAGCACTGCATATAAAATGATAAACAGCTTATACACATAGGACGAGCACTAGTAATATATGAAATTATTTATTAGTATTAGTACAGTAAGGCTTTCCAAAAAGCCACTTTTTGAGGGGACACTTATTTATTCAACTAACTTCATTCAACTGAAAAATACGCTGAATAGGTACTTTGAATGACTTTGAGATGCTGATATTGCCTACTATCGAGCAAGTAAGCCTCTGTCCAAACAACCGGCAACAAACTAATCGACTGGTGTATCAGTCGTTTTTGACAGACCCGGGTTGACCAACACCCTAACCCAACAACCTTATTCCATTTAGCCAAACCATGTCGCGAGATAATATCGCTTATTCGCCAAATAACAAATGCAATCGATGAAATGTTTGGAACTGCACAAAAGTTTTGCGATATCTAAAAAATCCAGGATGTTTTATTACATTACACACGGAGCTAATTAGTGAACAAATAATTAGTTGTGCTGAAGGCTTGTTTGGTGACATTTTAGTGGGGCCCTTCATTTTGACGTCAATTAAATCAGATGTTGTCAACGGGCTCACCACTTTTGTGGCACTATATCTGACTCCAATTGGATCGTATGAACGTTATTGAAATATACATTTAGCCAATCCTCGTATATAATTATCGACTTAATCCGCGTTGGTGAATAACGGAACTAAATTAATCAAATACGAGAATGGATTTCTGAATATATGTATTTTGTACACTCATTGATCTAGACAACCGGTCAGAGGGATGAAGCGAAGAGAAGAGAGAGAGAAACGAAATTACACGCGGTGGAAAAGACATGTGAATCATTGTATACCTGATGATACTTTCAAGAGAATACATGCTTAAGATCTATATGTAAATACTTGAAACCAAACGGAAATATTGACTTGCAAAAAGAGGATTATTAACAGATTGATTTTATGACCCTACAGATTTGTCACTGCTAATTTGTGTTATTGTAAATCGTTAGTAGGTTAAATTACTACTAATCTACAAAAACCTACCTTATGAAAAATAATATATTACATTATTAGAAAAAAAATGGAATGAACTCTTGTCTGTTGATTTATATACGATATAGTAAAGCAAATGTGAATTTTAAGAGTGGTAATAATGAATAATAAACGCTAAGGTCATATTCTATTGACATCCAGAAATCGCTGTGAAACATGTGGGCTGACTTTTGCTTGTTGTTTTATAGCAACTAACTCACGAAACAAAGGTTAACAAAAACAATTAGAGTAAAACTAAATAAAAATTAAGTCATCGTAAAATGAATGAGCATACCACATCTCCTGAAGGTAGTGGAGGAGGACCTTCGTTTGGATCTTCTTCTTTTGGAGCACCTACGCAGTCCTCCATCTCATGACCCATCTGGCCGCACAAGTCACAAGGTTTTGGTTGGTTTGGTTTAAATTCCTCACGAATAATAGTAAAATATGGTTCATGTGTGGCTAATCCAAGCATTATAAGGTCAGCGTCAGCGCCACATAAACAATGTTTCGTATTGGCGTCATGAGTTGGATTATTTCTCTGTCGTCTGATAAAATCCATGATTTTATGTTCACCCTCACCAGGAACATTTGCGTCACTCAAGAATACCTTAAAATAATGAAGAAGATATAAACCATTAATTAACTTAATGAACTTGAAATTGAAGACCACCTTAAAGACTACTAAAAACCATCTCCCTACAAAACTCGATACTGGCCTAAAACCATTCACAAATCACTCGATCGTATCTGTCACCTTGACGTGGTGGCTGGGCTTGCCTACTGTGACGACTCAACTGGATTATATTGAGTGGAACACATGTTCCTCTATGTCTTATCACGCAGGGAGGGTCGGCTGAAGAACAGTAGGACAAAAAGCAGCAACTTAAAGTCCGAGGGCGAAGTCGTACTGCTAACTGTACAAGGATATGACAGCGAGTATTTCCCTCCCACATCTAGCATCTGCTGTGAAGCTGCCTTCTAACAACGAAAGAAAGGTCAGAAAAGATTGACCTTAAAAATGCTACACCACATATTATCCACACGAATTTCAGTCTCCAGCGATAAAGTCTTTCGAAATATAAAGCTGACACATCGAAAGCTTCACATGTAAAGGCTATAAGTTAATAACCTTAAGAAGTTTTCCGTTGGCCTCTGTGGTCACAGTTTCAGGTCTTTAAGATCACCTTTAAGCCTATTTCTTCTTTAGGTCCCCCAAGAAGAAATATCCTACCACACCACAGTGTGAGGGACTGAAAAGTGATAACTTCCACCACGCCTTTAACAGCACCCGAGATCCCTTGATCATGACCAAAGCTTTCAATATCGAACCCTATGTCAAATAAGCCAAAAGATTTACTTAGTTAGAACTCCAGAACCTGTGCCATCAATGTACGCCATGTCTCCGAAACACAGGATTCAAGTGTGGTCATCGACTTGAACTTACGTAGCTGAAGCAGAGAACCTGTGGAATTTTCCCTTTGTTTATTTAGAGACTTGACCATGACTTCTGATAACCTTGCTGGAGTAGATATAACATTTTAGTGGACACATAGAAGCTATACTAAGAAGACCCCTTGAAGTTCAACTTAACAACAAAATACCAAGAGTACGTTTCACGAACTAGAGCAATTAGTCAATCACTAAAGTGATATGGATTGGCATAACATTGAGACACTTGTGAAAAGAGCGATGATATTTACGAGTGGCTTTAATCAATAGGTTAAGAAAAATTACTGGATTTCAGTGGTGCGTACCGAATTGATAAAATGTCCAAAACTCAAACCATTAAGCTTGAAACATGATTAGGAAAGAAGGTAACTTAAACGTAAACTGACAAAACGTCTACGCAACGACTATGAGCAGTGAAAGCGATGGAAAAAGGAAGCAGCTCTACACAAAAACAAACTTCTTATACTTGTCGAATAAATGGGGATTGAAAATCCAGGAATTGATGACAATTTCTAAGAGTGATGGGACAATGATCCACTGAACTCAGAAGGCTGAAACGATGAACAAAAACTTTGAAGAATAGTCTAACTGCTCTCCAGCTATCCTTTGGTTGCCTACTTTTAGCAAGCAACCTGAAAGGGATGTAAACATAAAACATTCAACTCTTAATGAAATAGAAAAAAATGTAGCTAATCTAAGGCGAGAGAGAGTAGCAGGACTTCATTGATTAACCCCTGAGATATTGAAAGTTAGTAACCCAGTTTTAGGTATTAGATTGACTGAAATCTCAATCAGAATCTGGGAGCTGGATATAACCCCGTCTGACTGGTCTCGATCGCTGATCGTCCCAGTCTATAAGGACAAAAATCCTTTGCTGACAACCGTAGACGAATCAGTCTGACTAACATAGTATCCAAAATATTGGCCTCAATAATCATCCGACGCTAGGACTCGTGAAGAACAGGCTCGAGAAAATCAAACTGGATTCCGATCTGGATGTGGATGTATACACTAAATATTCACTATTCGGCAGATTCTGGAACACAGATATAATTTTCGACATCCGACTATAATTCTATCCCTTGACCTTAGGGCGGCATTCGACTCTGTTGATCTTGAGGTTATATTTGACAGTCTGTCATTGAAAGCCGTACCAAAAGAGGTACATTAACCTTGTATAGGCTCCCTACTCGAACATTAATGGTCGAATCAGAGCTTATGGAGAACTGTAGTCGGAACTGATTACTTCAAGTGGTGCTCATCAGGCTTGCTAACTTTCCCCATTTTTATTTAACCATGTCATAGACATACTTTTAGAGATGACACTCATCGTTTGACTTTTCGGGAGTTGGTCCACCAAGAGATTCACCTGATGGCTTAAAATATGCAGATGATATGGCTCTATGTGGTGAAGACGCTAACAAAATCCAGTCTTTTGACCACCTTAAGCAACAATACAGGAATGTTCGGGGTGCGTTCCTCTCCCCTTAGATGCGAAATGTTACTTCCTGAACTACTGATAGAGAGTGAAGTAGTTGGGCGTATTAATCTTGAAAGTTTCTTTATCTCTAATGGGTTGATGTCTGACAAAGTTGTAGCACGAATTCAGAAAACTATAACTATATTCTACATAGGTCACAAATTTAATAGCTATACAGTTGGCTCTAGTGTATTATATAGAAAGAGACCACAATTACTAGGAAAACGTTTATAATCTCTGGATGAGGAAAATTTCAAGCCCTTTTGAAAAATGACTGCCGTAACATCATATCTTATGATTAGGGTATTAAGAAACAATGAAAAACTGATGTAAAAGTGATAAGACGGTCAAATGAAAGATAAAACCGCACAAAATTAACCGATGTATTCAAGGTAGTTTAACTGTCACAATAACTACAAACTATTGTGATAAATATGCATCAAAACTGAAAGCCAATTCAACTTAAAACAAAAGTCGCAGAACACATCATTCTAATCACATCGTAAACTAACCATCAGATTCTTCCATCCTGGATCTTTTGTCAAACGAGTATATATATACCCCCTTAAAGCAACAGCCAAACGTGCCATAAATGGTGTTCCTGGAGTAATACAATTGGAATCAAAATGTTCTTCCTTAGGTGGTGGAAGATGCGCCCCTCTTGCAATTAGTTCATTCCTTAAACGCTCAATAGTTATATGTTTTTCCTTCGCCTCTTGAGCCGCTCGAAAACGTCTGGAGCGTTGTTGATTCATTTTAGCACGTGGAGCCACTCCATCGATGGCCATATACAGTACTCTTCTAGGGCGAACAATGGCAAACAGTCTATCTATATATTCGAAAATAGCTAGGAACATTTCCGACTCCGTTTTTGGAGCTGGTTTGTTTTCTGGATGCGTACATGGATGGATAATACCGTTCATATCTAAATATAGATTGTCGAATTCTTCTCCATTTGGATTCGGCTCCGATGTATCTATAGGTGATCTATTGCCATCATCATCCAAAATAGCTCCACGTTTCTCTGCACAATGGGTGACAATTGATGGGTATTTCATACTCAGCCATCTGAAAAAAGCTGGAACACCCATGATTGACTAACCTGAAAAAAAGATGATTGCCGGGAACAAACTGATCTGATACAAATTTTAAGATAAATCATCTCACACTAGTGAAGTACGCAAACGCAACACAACTAATGAGTAACGGGTTTGAGCCCCATTTACCAAACAAAGGTACAAAATCTAATGAAAAATACGAAATAGAACTTAAATTCACGGCCTTGGGTAATCATGGTAAAACTAAATAGAAGTACGGTGTCAACGGGTTTAACAAACAACAGCTGACACAGACGTTTGGGGTGACGATTTCTACCTGGTCAGATGGGACGAAAGGGGTTTAAAATGTTATAATTCTCTATTACAGCTCAGCTATTCCTATTGCTTAGTACTCCTTGGACACCAATTCACTCTACAAGTCCCCAAATCAGAACACGGTTGATCAGGAAAGAAATTATATTCCAAATAACAAGAGCAGATGGAAGTAAGAAGCAAAATAAGAAAAACGTTAGTGTATTTATAGTTTTTACACGAGAGAATTCTAGAGACTTCTCCAAGTATCGACTAGCGCTGATTAGTTAAGAATCGGCCAATCAGCACACACCAAAGCAATCGTGCATGAAACATGCCTTAATCCAATCTAAGTCCCGCTAACACTTCCCCTTTGAGCAGGTTCGCAGGATCAGGTGCTAGGGTCCAACTGCAACCGAGTGACCGGCCTGTGATTTCGATTTGTCCATCATCTAGGTAATAAAGTTGTATCACTCTTTGCTTGCACAGAAACTGACCTGTCTATTCCAGGAGTTTAGATTTCAAAGGTGTCTAGCAGAACGTCAAGAGATATTCTATAACGAGTCTCGTTGCTAGTTGTTGGAGTTGCTTCCAATTGGTTAGCATGACGTACCCAAACTTCTGAGCCAACTGACACCTCATAAACCACATTTCCTTTTTCTTGCACGACCCGATCAGCTGTCCATGTAGGATGTTTTCCACGATAGTCCATAGCAAGTACTTTCTGACCCACCGTGAGCAATCATCTTTGTGCCCCATGATGTCGACTGAACTGCTTCCCCATCGATACGCTTCGTTGAGGCTCGAGAGCTGGCGTAGGACAGATGACATCGAAATGTGTTCGTATTTTTCTGCCAAGTAGAGCTTCTGCTGGGGAGACCCCGTTAATCGTCTGAGGGTTTGATGTAGAGCGATAAATAAGCAGGAACCTCGCTAGGATCTTTTCGGTGGTCACCTACCCTTTATATTTTTAGAGCATTTTTAAATGTGCTCACAAAGCGTTCCACTTTACCATTGGATCGAGGATGGAATGGACGTGTTTGAACATGATTTACTCCGTTCTGCCGACAAAATTCTGGGAAGGTAGCGGATGTAAACTGTGTTCCATTGTCATTAACTATCAATTATGAGACTCCGAAACGACTGAATAGTTGAAGTAGTTTACTGTGCAGCTTGCAGTTGGGTGTTCCATGAGAAAAATTTCTGGCCACTTGCTGTATGCATCAACTACCAGAAAGTAAGTTTGTCCATAAAGTGTGCCAGCAAAGTCCAAGTGTATACGCTGCCACAGTGACTGTGATATTGGCCATGATTGCAGCTCTGCTTTTCGCGGTGCCTCTGTTGCCAATGCACATTTGGTACACGAATGGGACAGATGATCCAGTTGAAAGTCTAAATGCGGTCAGCATATATAACTTCGTGATAGTGCTTTTATTCGATTTCTTCTAGGATGTCCTACGTGCAACTGTTCAAGGATTGCTGGTTATAGCTCCTTTGGGATTATGACACATTCAGCAAACAACGGGCAGTCGTCGATGATTGAGTCTACGCTAGTAAAACTGTTGAAGCTCTGTAGAGCTGATTTCTGAAGGCCGCCCTTCTAGATGGAACTTTCTAACTTCTTGTAGGATTGGGTCTCGAAAAGTTTCTTCTCTAATCATGTTCATAACTAAACAATCTCAAATTGAGTTGCGTCTCGAATGTCCACCACATTTATCTTGTTTGATTTTGGATTGCAGCCTAAATTTTTTACGGGTGAATTACCAACCAAAAAAACAAGATTATCTGCCTACATCACAGAAATTGGTATTCATTCTATTAATTTGATGTACCGAGCAGAACTATGTACGTTTAAACATCTCGATTGATGTACTATGAATCTCATGACAGAGGAAAACTAAAGACAAGATGTTTGTAGGATTTATTTTTTTCGATGGTTACTTTATTCAAGCACTTTCTATAGTGCCGTTCAACCAGTCTGTGTGAAGCTACAGTTGAAGTGAATACAGAATGGCTTTCGAATCGATTTTTTAGAACTGTAATTAGTAGAAGAATGACATTTAGAGGAAAAAAACATGCCGAATAATATCAGATGCAGAAAATAAACTACGAAACAAGAAACAGGTAAATACTGAAAGAGCTTGTCGACTATAGTCATCGTGTTCCACCAAATATATCTTTCAAGATCACCTAAACAGGCAAACAATTGAGTTTGAAGTGAGCGCAAACCAATAATCTGTGTATTACAAAGGCGTTAAAAATTCCTTTTAAACCATAACTGCGTGAAAAAGCGAAAAGTTCACGCTCGGATCCTACCCATAGCTCTAACACTTGATTTTTGTATAAGTTAGCTGTGAGTACTTTCCCCTAGCGTTTTTATCTTTTTGATGATTCGTTATTAATACTACGTAATTTTACTTTACCTTGTCTTCCTGATTGTTATGTCCGGATAAGCATAATAAATAGTAACTTTTGGGATCCATTTATGGACCAATACTATGTGTATATTTTTATCGTACAATCGTTAAATAACCAAACTATTCATATTCATGTCCTTCTTATCATAAGCTTCATTTTGACCTATGGACTATTATTATACGGTCTACCATTCTTGAATTATGCCCTGTCTATTAATTACTACCTCCCTCATTGTCACATTTGGCTAATTCTTGTTCAAATGTTGTTTCATATTTTATGGTACGGTGCGGTCTGTCTGGTTGGTATATAAACCCAGTA